GCAAAGGGCACCATGACATGCAGGGTGTGGAGTTTGGAACAGATCTTTGTTTGCTGGTTACTGAGACTGGAAACTTTTCCCTTGTGAATGCAGAGAGACTTTCTTTGTGGGGGGAGAAGTCAATTCTGGGGGCGTATGTCAGCAAGACATAGAGTCCCATAAACCATTATTTCTGATGGGCAAGCAAAATGGTTAACTGAACGTGTCTCCAGATTTCATACAACAAAATTGGACAGGAAAGGTCTTAGAGCTGTATTTTTTCCAAGCTATTTGCAGACTTGGGAGACAATACTGCATTGTTTACCCTGTCTTTACTTCCAGAAGATTATTATGAAATAGGAGTTGGAAATAATCTCTTTGAAAAGTGTATGTTTGATTCTGGGACAGAAACCTGCAGCAAGGTTTGAATTCTACAAAAGATGTTGGTACCACTGATACCATGAAATAAGTGGGATCTGGAGTGTAAGGATGAGAGAGGCTGGTTACTTCCGAAGAGTGCCTATATTTCATTCTTTGGCTGTATATTAATTATGATAATTTTCTGAATTCATAGTTTTTTTAATGGCTTTGTCAAAATTCCCACAAAGTCCCAGTACAGAGCACCTTTTCTTATGAATTTAACCTCTGTCTTTTCTCTGTGTGTTTCATGCAAGTAGGAAACTCTGACGCTTGCCAGTTTTCATCCCTCTAGTGATTTTGCAAAGTGTAATCATTGTAAAGTGCAATTGCTTAATATGTAGCTCATTCACTAAAACCCCAAGGATAAAGGCAGTGAGTAATGCGAGTCATTACCAGAGCACTGGTATCTAGGAAGATGAAGAGTCATGCGTCAAGTACCAATCCATTTAGTCTTGAATTAAGAATTTAAAAAATCACTAGTCAGATGTGATTGATATTATCTCCAGGCAAATTAAAGTAGTTACTCTGGAACACTGTGCTACTGCTAATGTTTTTCTCTTTCGGTATTAGAAGTGCTGATTGGTTGCATGTCCCTGCTGCTCTGTTTGTCTATGTAAGACACTTTGTAGACGAGCAGCTTTCCCAGGTGCCATCTGCGTCTCTCTTCCCAGGCAATACTTACCTTCATGCCTCAAATTCAGAAACTTTTTCCAGAAAATCTGTTCTGGCAGTGTTAGAATTCAAATTCCTGTATTTTCAGTCAGACTTACTTTTCTTTAGCCATCCAGGTTTCAACCATTTTTTTTGCTTTGCTTTGTACTAAATCACATGAGCTGGAATAGATTTCTTCTCCATCTCATTCCAGCTTTTTCGTCCAAGCTCATAGAATTTAACTAGACAGTGTACTGTAAATGACTGGGGTGTTCACATTTCCATCATCGTTCTGTTAGGGTGGTTTACAGATTAATACATAATGTGAGCTATCACCTTGTTTGTCACATGCTTTGAGATGTACGAGAGCCTAAACCAGCTCAATGCAGTAGTATGATGTTGTATGTAGCAGTCTGAAGGGGCACCACGGTTCAACATGGGTGAAATTATTTATGCATATGGATAAATCAGAAGTTATATTTTGCTTCCTGTAGGAACAAAAATGACAAGCTTCCTGAATCACAATGAAAAAAGGCCAAACAACAAAACAAACAACAAAACTCCCTTGAAGTCAACAGGACTTGGGCAGCTTTACAGTAGTTGGGATCTACTGTTAGAGGTACTATAATGTCAGTGATATTCATAGGAAATAAAATAAATGAGTATACCAGTCTGTGACATTGCTTGTGGATAACATTTATAAGGCATTGTACTATAGAGTCACCTTTAATTTGTGCATTAAAACCAGACCACAGCCTTCTGTTGCAACCTGATCGCTCTTAAAATAGGGTTATAACCCACAAGCTGTGCTACTCTGTGTTCCCTAGCTAAAAATATTCCAGGAAACATAACAGCAGACCACAGTTAATCTTTAGATTATAATTATTGCAAATCAGGTATGTGTAATCCATTTATACGTAGTAATTTTTGTCTATATCAATTCTCAAATCTTTTGGTTGCAACTTGTTTTATTCTGCGCTTTCTGTAGCTATTGACAATCTCCTGAAACCCTGACAATACCGTTAGGACTTTTCTCCTTTTTTTGGCATGATGCATTGCTGTGAACTGTGCTTGGGATTGCCCACCGTGCCTAGGAGCACTAGAGCACATAGCATGTGCCTTGGAGAGTCTGTCTAAAATGATGCCTTATTTTTTGTACTGTATTGCATAGGAACAGGTATTACGTTGGTAGCCTTTGAGCTTTTGGGATGCTGCAACTTTGTTTAGTGATCCCAAACACATTTGTAGTAGTAGTAGTATGTTCATGAAATTCATTACAGGACTGTATTTTTCTAAATGACCCAATCCACTTCTTAGGAAGTCAAACGATTTGAAAAGAAGAAGCTATAGATCAAACCTGGCAATGTCAGATGTCAAAGTAGGTGATGCAGTAAGGAAACAAAATGTCACATTCAATCAGAGGTTTACAGGTCACTGGTCTAGAAAAGTGAAATGATCTGTAAGATACTCCGTTTGTATAACTGTTTTTGTTGAGACTTGGGTGTCACCCTTGAACTCAGATATACAAAATCCTTGGGGGAATTACATTATATGAAAAACTGGGTTTTTTCCATTCTTTCCCAAATCAGTTGAGCTGGGAATCCTCAACAGAAGCTGTGAGAAGTGAAACTTGAGGCTTAAGTCTACTACATTCCTTGAAGGTAGCTGCACACAAACAGACCATTTTGAAGAGCGTGAAAACTAAACAAGCTGTTCTTCTAAAGGCAGACTTTAGGAAGCCCCCCAGAATGTCTTAGTTGTTATGAAGCTGGTTTGTGTGTGTCATGCTGGGCTATAGGACATCTAGACTTTGCATCACATCACATGCTTACAACTCTTCAGACTGGCATAGATTTATTTCCCTGACTGGCTGCATCCATGGACTCCTAGGCTTAGCCAAGGAAATGGGAAAGCTCCAGAAGATACCACCTCAGAGATGAAAACCAGTGCCTTATCCGTCAGACACTTCTGTGTTCCCAGCCAGAAAAACAATTTCCATTAGACTGGAGAACTGTAGGAAGAGGTCTGCAGAAGGCAGACGCTAAGGCAATGCACGGAGATTTTTTCACAGTATCTGTTGCATTGCTTTCAGGCCAATGCACACTTTCCACTATTAAGACTAGCAAATCAGGGGGAAAAAATATGGAGCTAGAAGATTTGTTGTCCATCAGTGATTGCAGTGATTATTAACTCACTATTCTGTCTGTCAGTACTGACAGAAAGATTTTGAGTCCTTTGTTTCTGAAAGTTTGTACATATGTGAGATTGAGACTTGAGGGGGGGTGGTTTGAGGGGGATTTTTTTGGTGTGGGTTTGGGGACGGGTTTTGTGTGAAAAGAACTAGTTGGCTAATCCAATATAGAGATTTGTCTTGTGAAAACTACTTTTGTTTAATTGTTGTATGTTGAAATGATGAGATTTTCTATTCTAAATGGAAGAACGCTTTGTGGTTGTATTACTACTAGTAGTGTGGAACATGTGAAAAGAAAGAAACCCAAAACAACCAAACAAAACACACAGTAAAAAAACCCCACAAAACAGCTAAGCCCTTCCCTTTCAAAACTTTCTTGCCTCACACTAGTGTCTCTGCTCAGCATTTCACTCTGAAGACTTGTCGTCGTAAGTGATGCTAATGATAGGGAAGGATGTATTTTCCTCGCTTTCTGACTTGTACTCATTCCTGTTGGTGCTGGGGTGACTGCCCATCACTCTGAAATGACACGGCGTTGGTCCTGATTGAAATGTGTCACTGTGCCAGAAACAACAGGAAGAGTCGTAAATTGATTTGTATCATTTCCAACTGGAAAAGTTATGCATTGATAATCTAAGGGATGCTTTAGTGGTGATTAATAGATACAAATCTCCAGTAGAGCTTTCTTAGATTTAGAGCTTTCCTAGGTTTAAGAGCAGCTTTTTATGCTTCATTTCCGTTGGTCTTTGGGAGGTCTGTCCTGCGTATGTCTAAATAGGTTTAACGCTGACTTGTTTTAATAATGCATGGAAATCAAACTGGTGCAACTGCCCCAAATCAGATAGTCTGACTTCAGTGAGGCAAAGCCTCCTGCATGAATTTTTCTTATTAGAATAATGTTTCTAGCAATTTGGTTTGGGTAATTCCTTGCCACTATAAGCTTTATCAATATAAACCAGTCAGTGAGAATCTTTCTATCAATAAGTGTGTTTACTATTGCTGTGGATAAACAGGAGCAGTGTTTTGTATGACTTGGATGTGCTGGTTAAATGGGCTTGCCGCAGTTCAGGGTGGCTTAGTTACACAGGCAGGTGCAAGCTGAATAAATACAACCAATGTTCATTTCCTACAAAACAGTTCACATACAAACTGCACTGGAAAAACTAGTTTTAATTTCAAACCAGCCCAAACAATCCTTGAGTTTCCTTAACAGTGTTTTCACTGGTATCAGTTAATAGACTTTAAAATACCGCAGGTGAGTAAAAAAGTGTTCAGTATAATCAATGATATATATCTACCTACTGATGTAACCTGGCCTATGACTTATTAATGGGTCTGGTAACATTAACCCTTCAGAAAATAGCTTTATTTGCCCACTTTGTGTTTCAAAGTCAAAGGTTTATCTTAAGGCAGCATGCTATAGACTGGTAACTGCTCCTTCAGTGTCTTGTTGCTGCGGGCACACTCAGAACAAGTGTGAAAGGGCTCAGGGAAAACGTTTTCTGAGCACTGTGGGACAGATGTAGTGGCTTGCAGGAACTTGCCTGCTCCACACCTTGGCTGGCAGCATTGACCTGACAGGGAGAATGAAGCCCCAGCAGATTCCCTGCTTAAATCTGGCTTTTTTTTTTTTTTTGGCTGAAAGTACATTCCCTTTCTTTTTTTTCCTTTTGTTTCGTAGGAAGTGATTGAAATGCTTTATCAGTCTGTTTGCACCTTGCCCATTCCCAGGTGCTGCTGCTTGCTGCCTTGCCTTGCTTCAAGCCACCAAATACTTGGGTTCATCAGGCCGAAGTTTCGTGATCTTGTCCACGCAGAGCAGGATGAGAGTGAGAAACCAGAGGCTCCAGCCGACGGCCGCTGCAATCCATCCGTAGTCATCCATGCCTGACGGGCAGCACATGGCCGCTTGAGTGCAGAAGTTCACATCTAGTGGCAAAGAAATGAAGTGAGCTGAGGGAAAACTGAGTACATAACAGGTTTCCCTTGCTAGAAGGCAGATGAGACAGTGGCTTCACTGTCTGCCCTGTTGCCTGTCACTCTGTCTTGGCAGCTCTAAGCCTGACTCTTGAACTTGGGGTGTGGCAATATTTGGTTTCATCTGTATATCTTCAAGACTTGGTCATCCTTGTCTGGCCAAACACCTGAGCTGCTTCTCTTACCACTGTGCCCAATATTATGGATATCTTTAAAAACACCTGTTTAGCATCTCCTTGGTCATTTTTAGGGGTAGAGTATGATACAAGCAGTTAGTTCAAAATAACCCTGGGGTAGAGAAACTGTCATGTGAGAGAGTAAGAACATCTCTGGCAGAGAGATCTT